TCGGTCAAAAACCCCGCGTAGAAGCGCCTCACGTAAGCTATCTGGCTCTCGACCACGAGAGACAGACAATCCCGACTGGTGCTGGTATCATAACCAGTACGGTAAGTTTTCCAGAAACTGCAGGAAACCTTGCAATTATCCGACCCCAAAATCGAGTGACACGAAAAACAGTTCGGGAAACTTCCCAGCCGGCACGCGTTAACGGCAACCGTAGCCGGCGAACACAGCCGCCTCTTACATGTCACGGATGTGACTACGAAAGTTCGCTACCTCGTCGACACTGGCGCAGAAGTTAGCGTTCTTCCAGCAAATCTCAACGACAGACTTCGCGAGTCTGTTTTAAGTTTACAGGCGGCAAACGGAAAGCCGATCGCTACTTACGGTAAAAGGTACGTCTACCTTAACGTGGGTTTACGTAAACCCATACACTGGATTTTCGTGGTTGCAGATGTCTCTATGCCAATCATTGGTATTGACCTGTTACAACACCACAATCTACTCATCGACACACGCGCACGAAGGTTAATAGACGGAAACACTAAGTTGTCCGTTTGCGTAACTCCTTGTTCTGGTTGCAGGTTATCCCCAGTCACGATTAAGCACGCCATAGACCCCTTGTACCAAGCTGTACTCGACAAATACCCCGAGATATACCAATCGCAATCGAAATTGCCTTGTGTAACCAGCAATGTTACACATCACATCTCGACTACAGGACCACCTGTATTTTCGAAAGCCCGAAGACTCGCTCCCGAAAAGCTTAGGTTAGCTAAAAACGAATTCAACCACATGATGGACCTAGGAATAATTCAACCATCGAATAGTCCATGGGCATCCCCATTGCACATGGTCCCTAAAAAGGACAGCAATGATTGGCGGCCAACTGGTGATTATCGGCGTCTGAATGCTAAAACCATTCCCGATCGTTACCCGCTGCCTCATATTCACGATTTGACAGCTACCTTGAAAGGTACAACTGTCTTTTCGAAAATCGACTTGGTTAAAGCTTATAACCAAATCCCGATGGCAACTGACGACATTCCTAAAACCGCCATCATCACTCCCTTCGGTCTTTACGAATTTCTACGAATGCCTTTTGGTTTAAGAAACGCGGCTCAAACCTTCCAAAGGTTTATAGACGACGTCTTCCGAGTTCTCCACTTCGTACATGCGTATGTTGATGACTGTCTAATAGCAAGTCCGGACAAAGAATCGCATGTCAAGCATCTGGACATTGTTTTCGATCGACTCCAAAGGCATGGCATTACTGTCAACATACAGAAATGCCAAATCGGAACAAACTCCTTAGACTTCCTAGGACACACCATTGATGCCCAAGGCATCCGACCCCTTAGGAGCAAAGTGGCGGCCATTCTGGATTACCCAGAACCGACCACGATCAAGCACTTACGAACTTTTAACGGACTCGTAATTTTCTATAGACGGTTCATACCTAAATGCGCATCCCTAATGAAACCGTTAACCGATCAGCTTCGTGGAAATGCGAAATCAATTAGTTTAGACGACACAGCCCGTAAAGCATTTTCCACAGTTAAGGAACACATCGCTAAAGCAACCTTGCTTGCTCATCAGGACAGTCAAGCGCCCATTAGTATCGCCGTAGACGCATCCGACTCAGCAATCGGAGGGGTCTTACAACAATGGGTTAACAACTCGTGGCAACCTTTAGGATTTTTCTCGAGACGGTTGCTAGACGCTGAATCTAGGTACAGCACGTTCGGTAGGGAACTCCTAGCTATGTATTGTGCTGTACGGCATTTTCAACATTCCATCGAAGGAAGAGAATTCACGCTCTTTACCGATCACAAACCTCTTACCTTCTCTTTAAGTTCATCTTCAGACAAGTACTCATCAAGAGAGTCTCGACAACTGGACTACATTTCGCAGTTTACTTCAGACATACAACATATTTCTGGAGCAAACAATGTAGTCGCAGACGCCTTGTCTCGAATTAGCTCCTTGAACAGTTTCCAAGGAATCGACCTTCTTAAACTCGCTCAGCTTCAAAAAGAAGACATTGATCTTCAGCATGAGTTATCCTCGACAACTCTTAAACTAAGTATTAGGCAGATGGGAACAGGTAAGGAAACCTTACTCTGTGACACATCTACAGGTAGGGATCGTCCAATTGTACCAAAACACTATCGCCGCAACGTCTTCAATACGTTGCACAATCTTTCTCATCCAGGTGCTCGTGCAACAATCGAACTTATAGCCGAACGCTTTTGTTGGCCTGGCATGAATAAAGACGTGAGGGAGTGGTCACGCTCCTGTGTAAGCTGTCAGAAATCTAAGGTAATCAGACACAACAAATGTCCCTTAGGTTCTTTCAAAACCCCTGACGCTCGTTTCGACCAAGTCCATCTAGATTTGGTAGGACCCTTACCCGACTCGAACGGATACTCATATCTCCTAACATGCGTAGACCGTTTTACTCGATGGCCAGAAGCAGTACCGATTAAGGACATTACTGCTGAAACCGTGGCCCGCGCTTTCGTCGAACGATGGGTAGCAAATTTCGGCTGCCCTTCAACCATCACTACAGACCGCGGACGCCAGTTCGAATCTGGACTTTTCCGTTGTCTCACCTCACTATTAGGAATCACGCGCTTCCGAACGATCGCCTACCACCCACAAGCAAACGGGTTGGTAGAACGTTTTCATCGACAATTAAAAGCTTCATTATCAGCTTCAAACGTTTCACAGTGGACAGACGCTCTTCCACTCGTCTTGCTAGGTATCCGCAATGCAGTGAAAGCTGACATTGGATACACGGCATCTCAACTCGTTTACGGAACGACACTCCGACTCCCAGAATTCGTGGATCCTTCAGCTTCTTCATTGAACATGGATCTAAACTCTTACACGAGTAGGCTTACAAACGCTATGCGTTCAGTTAAACCTGCTCACACTCGACCTCAATCAACTGATGTTTTCGTTCAACCCGAATTACGACATAGTACACCCGTCTTCGTTCGTCGAGACTCACATCGACGACCTCTAGAATCAGCATACGACGGACCCTTCAAAGTTCTTCAACGCGAACCTAAGTACTATGTAGTTGATAAGAACGGTACGAAAGATAGCATCAGTATCGATCGACTCAAAGCTGCGTACTTAGAAGGAAACCCTAGCTACGTCGATTTTCCTTCGGTACAAGCAAACGACACAGCTACTACACTCGTAGTACCCCACACGACAACCGACACACAACTTGATACTTCGTCAACGTCGATAGAAAAACCTAAAACAACGCGTTCTGGAAGACGAGTCAGATTTCCAGAACATCTTAACGAATATTGCACGTAGGACATAAGCTTTATCTTGAATTACCCTTCCATAGTTCATTATAAAAAAAAATTTTTAATATGATAATTTTTTATTTAAGTAAAAAAAAACAAAAAAAAACAACATTTTTTTGAGCGTATATATATATATATATTTATATATTTAAAAAAAACCAAAAGAAAACCTTTTTTCCGATCGCTTTTACGCTGTTTGTAAGTGTATCAGTTTATTTTTTTCCGCTCATCTTGTGTCCTTACGCAAGTACGAGTGTATTTTTGACATGCACTCACACGTTTTATTTTTCCTCTTTTCCAGGACGGCTGGAAAAGAACGACGAAGTTTCGCAAGGAACAGAAATTTTCATTGTACTATATTTCTTTATTGCTACGTTGTATATTTTGGTCCCATAGTTTAAGGAAAGACGACCAGACGCTGCTAAACGAAGCAAGCTATCAGAAGAGTGTTTACCAACGACAAACTCGTTGGGTTTAAACTTCTGGCTGGTCACGTCTTAGGGGCATCACTACCTCACTAGGGGGGGAGTGATCTGTAGCTGTAAATAATTCCCCAAAATCAATAGCTCATTAAGTGTTCGACATTGGATGCTGACCACATTGTTTAAGTGGACTTGTTTAGCTGAAGGCTTTCGGTCATGCATCCGCACCAGATCACGTTTCAACACGGCGTGGGACACAGCTCCTACGTTTCATTAGCCAGCCCATAGAAAAGGTCCTCGATATATTGGTAACGAATCAAATATATCTTTCCTGCCTCTTCTCGTCTGACTTCTGATTTCTATCTGACTGGGAACAATCGAATTTAGAAGGTGCTACTGGTATCTAGTTGTAAAACTAGAATATCCGTTGCATCATCACTAACAAAAATTACGAACTCATCTGCTATCATCATGAGTCTACAAGCCAACTCACTGCATTTCGTGTAGCACCGTAGGCTTCTTGCCACTAATATCATTTACTTACAGACACAGAATAAAAAAAGCATCCGGTATTTAGAATAATCTATATGGATGGTAGATCCACTCGGTAATGGTGTGACCTCCTAGCTCTAATCGAAGTTATACCTGACAGTCACTGTCTAACGTGGCATCGAGGTTCTAAGATGACTTTGATGACTACATGTAACAAATGAAGTCTTATCGAAGTGATTTTTCGAGGGAAAAAAGTAGAAAGGTACGAATTATTGAGTGCAACTGCTTAAACCGAGTTGTTTCTCTGTGACCTCAACGAAGTTCACAAAACTTCTCAACCCCCAAGAATCTCTGGTTCAACGTAGAAATGGTACAGCATGATGGGCGATTAGGCTTGAGGTCAGAAACTTTTCCTCGGCTCTAAAACGTTCTCGGTTTAGTTACTAAACCGACTGGAGAATGTACGATACGTTTTCCGCCTTGCTTTGTTCCTATATATTAGCCAAATGTTTTCAATGACATCATGAAGTATTTACCGTTTTCTTGTTCATAGGGTTCTCGGGTAATCTGACCCTCAGAATTTCGACGTCTTTGAATAAAACTTTCTTCAATCCAATAAAACAATTCTTGCTTCATTCCCCCACAAAGTTCGACGATTGGAATCTTTAAAACAGGCCTATTTTGTTTCTATGGTTTGTCGTTACAACGCAACTGCTAAATAAGAGTCAGCGCCCAACCGAATATGTTGTCATATTTCAATGAAATGTTGTGGCAGGATAGGGAAGTTCGCTTCGATGCTCCGCGTTGCGATTTAGTTTTTAGACATGGAGAGGTAAACTTTAAACTATTAGAAAATGTCGAAGATGTAAAAGGAAATAATGGAGACAAAGGTGTTTGTTTGTGTAATATATGACAAGGTTGCAAAATTTCTCGTTTTTCAGGGGCTTTATACATTACTAACTTGAGGTTGCTCTGGATATCTAAAAGTTTAATGCGAAACAGTTTATGTAGGATTAATGATTTTCTAGCACTCACATTACTTAAGCTATTGGCTTTAGCTGCATCATAAATATTTGTTTTAAGAATGTTAATTCAGTAAGTATATGAGAAAATCCACTTTATGGCTAGAAAGTGGCTGGAAAAAGCTTGGCGGTTGATGTTCTTACTAATTTTTCTGGAACGAGGTATGAATTTATTTTTGCTGAATACGGCGTTGGTGATTCCAAAATGATGGAGTATATTACAACAGTTTACAAGTTAGTTTCGTCTTCAAAGCCTTTCAAATTCTGAAGGGCGTATGATTCTACGAGAATTTATCGAGATTTGCGGGTTCGTGGGACACTAACGAAAGGAAACCTTCTTATGTTACTGCCACTAGAAAATTTGTTTGATGAGATAGATGGAGTATGGAATCTTTCATCTGATCAAGTACTTGAATTTCAGAAGTAGATAAGTTATCAAGGGGAATCTAGGGAAGTTGTTTGTAACAAATCTTCGACTTGTTTGGATATCTATAATTAACGGGAACTTCAATATTAGCATCCCTTTCCTGCAGATAGTAATTATGTCGAAAAATACTAAAATTCTTACTTCAGCAAATGATTACAACCAGAAACTCTAAGTTTGGAGAAGCACTCGTAATTCAAACTGCACGTCAGGTCAGTAAAGTCAGTACGTTTTAATATGATATATAGGTGGTTCTTTAAAAAATGTCGAAATAATTTTCTTTTACCATAGAACTGATTTTATCTCTTCGATTGAAGTTAATACGAATAATGTCGGTTCACATACCCGTCTACTACGGCCGTAATAAAGAACTTTAGGGTTGATTATGACTGAACGTTATTATTTAATGAAACTCACTAATTGTAATCAAATCACGACTAACCGTAGTGTTTAGTTACTGAGTATGTAAAAATACCTAGCTGTTCATCTAGAAGTCCCGTTTTAATGATAGAAATACCGACATTTAGTCAACACGATGTAGAACTTGACACGTGCGCACACGGGTTAAATTTGCCAAACCTCATTAATACTGCACGATAAAACTGTCAGGGTAAATCTTGGTGTAGCAGAGTTAGAAATAAAGTTAGCGGAATTAGAAATAATTAGTCATTGAAGTTGCGATCCATAGAAACATCAATTCGCGAAATAAGAAAAGTTATGAGGAATTCAGAAGCTCAGAATTTGAGGGAAGACAAAGAGTTAGTGCACTTGCAACAGTTAAGACTATTTTGACCCATGTCACTGGAAGTCATTAATCATTGGCTACAACAACCACGAAGACGATAATCAGCTGGTGTACACCTGCCTACATGGTTTATTCCAAAACTCAGTGCCTTCACGGACCGAAACTGTGTCTTGGTTTGGTCACTCCTAACTCTCTTCCAACCTACTTCTGCACCAGCCATTACCGCACATCGAGGTAGTCGGTAAATGAGCATACGTAATACATCTAACCATCTCCATCGATAAAGATTCACTATGAGAAACAGATGCTTATGTGAAGACCTATGAACATTAAAAAAAGAGTATTATGGCACATAATCGTTTTCAATAACTTCTTTATCAGGCTTTACAATTATGAGTCCAAAACTAACATTTTTTCGTTACAATAGAAGAAAGATTACAGTTGAATTAATCCATATTGTAAGTTTAAAATGAAAAACTTCGGGTTGACTGCTTCTTAAACTGTACAAATTACTAACATACTAAAATAACACCATTGGTATTGTTGGGAAATTTTCGTTTAATTTTTGGTTCCATTTGTGTCTTCCACCTTAACCATTATTTCCACTCCCTTCTGAGAGGTTTGTCTTATCCCCAATCATACGCTCACTTTTCTTATTTTACACGATACTCCAATTAATAATTTTTCTTAATCTTAATATTATTATTGCCATCACTATCATTGTGACAACAAATCTAACGCAATAATTCCTATAGTTCACTCATCTGTTTTGAATGAGATTAGACTTCATCATATTGATCAAAAATTAATCTTTCTTGCCTTGATGTTTGACCTCTTCTCAGGAATACCAGTTATGTTGTCTTATTGTGTTAGTAATTTATACAGTTTAAGAAGCAGTCAACCCGAAGTTTGTCATTTTAAACTTACAATATGGATTAATTCAACTGTAATCTTTCTTCTATTGTAACGAAAAAATGTTACTTTTGGACTTATAATTGTAAAGCCTGATAAATAAGTTATTGAAAACGATAATCTGCTGCAATATTCTTCGTTTTTAAATATTATATGGGATTTTTCAAACTACATGAATATTATTTTGATTAAATATCCATAAAAATTTAGGAATCACCTATTAGTTAATTTATTAAAATATTTATTACCAAACATACACGTATTCATATCAAATCTCATTATCCCTATCAAAACCTAATATTGAAGAAACATAATATATACAGTCTTGGTCACGTTTTTATTCCAAATGTCTCATGCCTTCCCATTTCCAAATACGTATGGTCTTATTTGATTTGTGAATTAAATTGTGTGTAGTTCACAACCTGGAATACCTCCCAGTTGTAATTTTCTGTATGAAATACACCGTCTTATTACCCGATTTCTCCCTTTGTTTGAGCTAAGCAGTAAAGCATCAGTTTCTCGACACCGAAACCTATATGCGTGTAAACGTTTATTGCTGAATGGATTGGTCAACACCGAGACACAGTAGCGTAAATTCCCGGTAAAATCATGCATCAGTTTACGTTAAAACACCTTTATATTCTTAAATACAGAGTTTTCAATCCTGTAAAAATTATTCTATTGAGGTTTGAAAAATAATACTGAGTTTTAGGTTAGCATAACACAAGAATTTCAGTTCACAGCACAGCAATGAATTAGTCACAATGGTTACTTAACAACAACAACGTCTGCATTTTGTTTTGTTTACAGGCAGGATCATATCTTCTTGGATTTCGAATAGATCCACGCGAGCGTCTCAAAAAAGTAGCAAAGCAACTTGGTAGTTTACATAGCATTTATTGGAAAAATCCTGTTCTTGGAATCACAACTGGTCAAGCAACAGATGAAACAATACAAAATGTATGTAAACATGGGATGAATATATATATATATATATTGTTATAACTTGTGGGTTTGTGCTCCAATTTACATATGACGCAATGATGCCGCCAATTAGAATAGTTAATCATCGATCGGACCCATGACACATGAAATCCGTGCGAGCAGTCTAGATTACTTATCGGTCGCGTTTTCTGCCTAGCCCAACCATTTAAGTTCAGAACATCAATAAAAGCCTCTGCAATATGAATAATTTATTCCAAACATACTGGGTTTATATACCAAACAGACAGACCACATCGTATCATAAAATAGGGAACAACATTTGTACACGATTTAGCCAAATGTGGCTGTGAATAAGGGAGATAGTAAATGATAGACTGTAGGTAACTCAAGAACGATAAATCGTATAGTAATAGTCTGTGAGTTAAAATAAAGCTTATAATACGAGAGACATGAATATAAGTAGTTTAGTTACTTAACAATTATACCATAAAAATCTACACATAGTATTGGTCTATAAATAGTTCTCAAAATGTATCATTCATAATTCTCTTCGGAATATAACATATATATATCCTTAAGGGTTTGATTTACCCTATGTTTCTCTGTCTTACAGCTGGTCAAAATTTATTTTTCATACGTATGGTAAAAAGCCTACTTTCAGTAAATACTGTAATTTTTCTAATTCGACAAAAATTTTCATCCTTATTACCCAAGTTTTGTTATCCCATACGTCTATCTTGAAAAGCTAGGGGGTAATCTGTTTAAGAGGATGTGTGTATGTGTTGTGTTTCCAACGGAAAACATTTACTAGTCAGCTTTAGGTGATCGAAAATGTAAATGTAGTTGACGTAATTACATTTAATTATTTACAGCGCAAACGTGATGGTATATAAGATGGATGTGTATCCATTTGTTTGAAAGAAAATATTTAATTAGAGTTTCGAATGAAACGACTGTATGTAAAGTTGACTAATTACATCCTAGGTTATATTTTTTGCACCTCATTGGAATGAATTTGAAATACATGGAGAACAATAAGGGTGAAAAATATGACTTGATTTTAATTTTTAAAGGTCATAGTCGGCATTCTTCGTTAAGTGTATTCCCGAAGACATTGTTCCTTATGCTCTTCAGCGAAACTCAATGAACTTTTATACCGTCAGTTTTTGACGTTCGACATAACGAGAGCAAAAAGACCAAGTTTTACTTAATATTAATTAGATGAACAGATGGAACATATTGTAATGAACGAACACTCAGTTGGGAACAATCAACATACTGTTTTATGCAAAGTTACGAAATATCTTGCTAAAATATGAGTACCATACATTTAATACTTCATTTTAGAATTTCCATCATTTGTCCTTCACATTCTGTATGATTCTTTTAGTTCACAATTCCGTTATATTCTCCTTAACTCGATCTTTTTAGTCTTCTACTGCCAGGTTTTCCACTTCCGACCGACATTGGTTGCATGTACCACAATATTCGGTGCACCCCATGTGATTATAATTAATACAGGATTATGAAATATCCATACAAGTCAGACTATCATTTATCCCAGTTAAAATCATACTCAGATTTACGTTTGACAGGCAGAAATATTGAGACATTCTTTCAGCTAAGCTAAAATAAATCAAAAATCCAACTACGTTACAACAGTATCTTGTCAATAATTTTGTTGAAAATACTGAAGCGGTTCAACAAATCAAACCTGACATACATGTCTTAAAGCGTCATATTCAAGGTGTCATCATACTGTATGATTTTTCACACAAAGTCGACTGATTAGTGATACATTGTTTTAACGTTTTTAATTTTTAGTCATTTGTGTTTATCACCTAAATGTGTTCAATTCATTCATCTTTCTCATACTCCTTAAGTGGATATTGACCTTTTTCGGTCATAACGCAACCTTATTTTGGTCCTGGAAATTATGTACTACTCTTCATATTTTACGACAGACTATGTGGGGTAAGAAGTGTAAGTAGGTAAGCGACATAAACATTTGAAATTCTGACACATTGATAACTCAGCCTAAAATGGTGATTTCTTAATACAGTAAAATAACCCCAGCAATACATTGACTGACTGAAAATAGAACATCAAAACAGAGCATCAAGAGAGGGTGAAATCAGTTTAATGTAGATATAAATGTTACTTAAATTAAAAAACTCTCGTAACACAGTTTAACATGTTCATATTTGCAGATTCAAATTATGTGTTATCCCATGTAGATAGTCTAGTATCGATCTGTTTTCGTAATCTTCTACGACCAGTTTGATATGTATTGCTAATTCCCTATTCTTTCTGTTCTGTTGTTGGATTCGTGCAACAAAGTGTTCGATTTTCAATCGATTAAGACTTCTTTTTTCAGAGCATCAACTCAGAGGGAAATTTAGTACATTTTAAGGGACTCGAATTCGGTAAGATACTTTAACTGTCATGTCGTATGCGCTAAATCTGTTTATTTAGATTAACAGCTGGAAATCGAGCTGACACTGCATACGAAAAACTGGTTGACAATGTAACCACAATTTGATGTGCCGCCTCTGTAAAGGAAGCTCCTCGATCTCTTATTATGTTGATTGACTTTTTTCGCATCTACCTTAGCTGTATCTGGAACATGATTGTATTCCATTGGCATCTTCACATTAGAATATTCGATTCCTCTTTACAAAACATCTCTATTGACTAATATTTTATACATGGATTTTTTTTGTGGAAATTTATTGTTTTCTTAATCATAGGTGAAGAAAATAAATGAAGACATAGATGAATCTAGAGGTCGAACTACTGAAGATCACTGTGATATTCTCTCAGTAAGTCGTTAAATATATTAAGTTCCACTAAGTGATTTTTTCCAGCAAAATATTGGTTTGCAAAATATATGGCTCGTACATTTTAAGACTTAAACATCCTAAAGACTGATAAGCAGAATATTTATTCCCCAAGTCTATTTCCCGTAACTGTTTTAAGACTGCTATATAAGTAGTACCATGAAGTTATCGTACTAACCATAGCATAACCACCAACCATCCCTGTCCAACGGCCATTAGGATTATTTGTATACCCACTTCAATAACATGGGAGTAAAAACAGGTTTGTGTATTAGTAATGTCCGAACCTCCAAATCTAGTTATTCGGACACACAAGAACTTCCTATAATCTCATGTCTCGTACGCAATTTTACGATCAAAATCAGACACAATCCAGTAATAACACACAAATTCGCACAATGGGTCGTAAACACGTATGGCAAAGACCCATTACATTAAGGAGTTGTTTCAACTAAAGGTAGTTCGATATTGGACCAATGAGCAAGTTGTAACTGACATTTAACCCATTGAGATTCTATTTCATCAAGATGATTATCATTTCAGTAGCTATATCACTTACAAAAATATGCGTTTTTCTACCGCAGCAGTATCATTTGCCGCTGTTACCTAATACAAGCACTTAAAGCTAACAGAGATAAACAAATAAATGCTCACAAATTTATTCCAAACGACAAAATTTTAACACTAAAACCCCACTATTGTTTACATTTTACAAAGGTTTATCTAGCGGATGGAACAAAACTAAGAGACAGGGAGCCAGTGTACAACGAAGACCTTGGCCTTGCTGTTGAACGTTTACCAGAAAACTACACTATTTCTAACCTGTGGAAGATAATGCCAAAAAAGACAAATGACTTTCATCACAAGAATTTATCATAATCCTGATCATTTTTACAAATAATAAAAAAATATTACAAATATGTCAAGAGTGTTCTTGTGTATAACCTCAACCACCATGCAATGAAGATATAAATATAACTTTGTCCATTTCCTTCAAAATGTAATCATTCTCACCCAATAAACTGTAATCTACATCATTGATTAAAATGAGAATTCCGGGTCGAACGCTTTTCCCTTGTAAGAAAAGTTCAGGACGTTCTTGTAAAAGATTTTTCTCCAACCAAACAAGCAAATCACCTAGTCGAACCACTGTTGGTGGTAAGTCAACTTGATATTCTTTTTGTTTGTTGAACAAAAGTTCAGCCCCACCGGAAAATTCAATATCAAGTCTCATTTAATTGCTATGATCTGAAAGAAAATAAACGGAAGATTAATGTATTACAGATGGAAAAATCATATGATCGCTAGATCTTAAGAGAAAGATTCCGTAAAAAAACTTGTTTTAAAACAGGTTATGAGGATAAGAATTACTTTTTCCATAGGTGATCAAAAGCCATACACTTGCCACAAATTAAGAATTTCAAGATCCCTATGCACTGTTTAAAAACAGTTTTCAGTAACCTTGTCATCAGGTTCTACAGCTTTATACACCTATAATCTTTGCGTTACAGTGGGTAAAATTAAGTAAATATGGATTATTAAATTAAACAATGTTAAAAATGTGAACATTCGTATCAATTAAGGTGTAAGTACATCTGGTTCATATCATTTGTAAATTTAACAGGTAATTTAGAAAAAGGGGCAGGCAAAGCGTTGTAAGATATCAAGCTGTAATCAATGTAATAAAATAAATCACGTAAATGTGATGCATAGTTGGATAAATATTGTCTGAATGGCTGAGGTAATAATTATAACCCAATGACGTGGATAAATTGTGGAATTGTGTAGAGGAACGAAACGATACAAAAAAGCGTAGAGGAAAATAGATAAGGCACTCAAAAAATGTATCGAATATGACGCAAGACTCACTGAAATGAAATGTAAATTTTACTACAAATTAGCCGCCGATTGATCGATTATACTTATATAAAGTGCTAGGAATTAATTGTCCCGACTCTTAACCGGTACGGTTCAAAATCCTTTACAATGAGATATATAAGTTTCTGTACCGATATTCTTGGTTTTGATCAGTTTTCGCAGTTTTTCTATGAGAACATGAAATACGCCAACTATAACAGACACTGAAAATTCTAAGACTTTTCATTATAAAAATAAACAAGGAGTTAAACTAAAAAATGATGAACTATATTTAGACTTTCAGATTAAGTGTAAACTCTAAGCAATAATGAAGCATTAGATAAGTGTAAGAATTTGGGAAATAATGAACACTAACAGAGTTCTGAAGTTTAAAAGACAAGATATGTAAACATCACATAATAATGCATCAGTTTACAACTTCACACCTAATTTCACAGAAGGAAAAGATTAACGAAAAATAAACAACAAAATGAATAGAAACATAAAGACGAACTAATATGTCTTCATGAATGCGTCCGCGTTGCGACAATTTGTTCTAAGCCATGGTACCTACAACTATTACTGGACTATTAAAGTTTAGGTTATATTATTTAAGTTACTATCCGGTGGTTTTATGGACTGATGTTGTATGTTAGTGCAGTGAATTAGACTTGGTATATTCCTGGTTTAAGCAGTCAGATGATGAACTGGCATATGGAATATGCAGTAGACATTAGCTAATGCTGCACGATAACAGCCTCAAATACAAACTTTTGTGAAAGCTGTATATCCAACATCAACATCATTAACATGAATGATCACTGCATAACAATAATGCGTAGAAGAGATTGACGATAGGACACTTGTCTGTAATTTCGCATCAACTATCTTTAGTGAAAGCATTTAAAAGCTAATAAGCAACACGGAGCCTACCAGTACATAAGCTCGTCCTCCTAAGTGCTTAAACTTAGCTAACTACACAGCTGAATCATAAAGACAAATGCCAAACAAACTTTTTGTATCAACGGCAATATTTTATCAACCACCCACCCTTTATGACCAGTGCCAATCCGGAAAACTATTAACCAGTTACTCATTTTCAAGTAGTGTCGACAGACACGAACATTACAGCATAGATGGTAGGTGATGCATTAATCAAATGAGGCTCGTAGACAGATAAGATAGATTGTGTGATAATTTTAGAGGTTATGAAAGGCTTACATAAGATCACTGAAATTAAAGATTGATAATATAGGTTACGCAATAATTGAACAGCATTTGAAGAGTTCACCTAAGTTAAGAGAATTAAGTGAATGAAAACGTATGAGTGAATGAATGTTTTCGGTGTACATAAAGTAAGATCATATATCAAAATAAACACTACAGCACAGCCTTAAATTATGAAAGTGTAAGATATGTCTGAACTTTCATCAAAATTCAGGATTTCGTTAGAGAACATGTCAACCGATATTATTTATTTATCTGAAGACAAACATTGGTACAAAGGGGTACAAATATATATATATATATATATATATATATATATATATATATATATACCACACAATGAAGTGTGAAGAGACAGAGAAAGGTGTAGTAAAAAACAATGGACAAAAACTGGTGTATAAGTGAAATAAAAATTAAAAATAATGGGATAAACAATTCACTTGAGAAAAATACAACCAGAAGGAATTTCAAAGTTACTTTCACTCTCGTGAAGAAAAAAAAAAGAATATTACATCAGGGTCTTCACTAGCTCCTATGCTGAGACATTTTTGCTAACATCTCAGGCCACAGTGTTGCATCATAGTCATACACTGACTACCTCTTCACTTTTCCAACCATTCCCAGTATCGGCAAATAATGCACGATGTGGAATTCTCTGGAACGACATTAGTGGTACATATCCAAGACACCGAATTCGGTGTTTCAGGGTTGTGACACTAAAATTAACTACGGCCACTGTTTCCAAACACATGTCGCCGAACCTTGAAGCGATGTACATACGTACCGGGTTCTACGTTGTAACTGATCGATTGATATGGAAGTATTATTTAGTTATTTACTTTTAACTATTTAACCAAGCAGCTTGTCAATAACATATTTAATTTGCCTTTGTTTTGGTAACAGAAACATTCAGTAAAAGACCAAACCCCAATTAATAAGACTGTACATGCCTTAAAAGAAAAGGGTTTACAGCATTTACATTGTACTGAACGGACAGTATACACGCTTGATTATGGGTGCGATAAACATCGATTTGGATACTGTAACTTAAGGATCTACATTGAGAATCTCTATTTAGTGACCCGAATGTTTTTCAGTTGTTGATTCAGATACAACTGAAGTGCAATCATTTAAGGACCTTTGATTGCATTATGTAATGAAGCCGCTTGGTTTGAAAATAGAGAAGTGGAGCTACAGCTGTTTAAGCGGGCATTTTGTTTAAGGGCGTATATAATCTTGCTTCCTTGACGAATTCGTTAATTTACTGCAACTGAGATTTACATACTCTACTGTATTTCTCCAAATTATTCTATAGGTTGGCTGTGGGAAAAAAAAGAATCTTATGATTACTATATTATTTACCCAATATTGTACTGAGATTAAACGGACATAAAACACCATAAAAAATTTAATTTGAAGTTTTAATAAGTTGTCACATTTTATATCAACGCACAAGTAAACCACCAACATAGGGTTACATTAAAAACTAAGTGACTACAGAAGACCGGGTTCCGAACATCATAAGCGGAGGCGAAACGTAAACACCCCAAATAATATTGTTAACACAATTTTGGCAGTGGGACGTAATAGATACCAGAGTGTATGTATGGAAGAACTGAACTACAATCTAATAGCTTTTGAAAGGGAGATTTTGAACTGGAAGATAGTAACAGCTCCAATAAAAATCTTCGGCTGCAAAGCTTTAGATGGAGAAACATAAGTACCATTACGACAGTGTAGTAACAGGTGATTTTAGATCTCTCCATTAGTTAGCTGGTCGATGACCACTGGCAAAAAACTCCAATACATTGATATATACTAATTTATATGGCATCGTAGTTGACAAAGTGATTTTATTGGTTTAACGACCATGGCCAGCTAAGAGTATTTATGAACCAGGATCTCGAGGTCATAGTCCAAGACATGTCTCATTAAGATAAACGAACTGTATCTTACATTCTACAGCGCATGGTTCAATTAATGTAAGGTGTATATCAACTCCAAAAGCACATCGTCATCCGCGTAACAGTTTTGAGATAAGTTTATACCGACTAGAATCCTTAAAATGAACTGGAACGCTTTTGATACATATGTATGAAACGGTAGATAGAAATGTTCCTCTCACAGCAAATGACAGTAAAAATGTCAAGTTAATTTTTATGAGTCGGTTATTTCGAAACGCCAAAAGGATTTGTCACAGTTCTTCAATATTCACTTACTGAAATAATATCATTCACCTGTTTACTTAATTCTGTTCAGTGCACTACAAGGTTAAACAGGATGCAACATTCCATCAATGTACAATATGTACGCAACAGATAGTATTTTTTCGTTCGGTTATTGAGTGTACACTTACTTTCGAAGGATTTTATTTCAAGTTCTAACTTTTCTACATATATATTTTATTTGACTACTAGTGAGCAACATTAGTGTATTCACTGAAGACAAGGAGATAGCTTTGGATTGCTAAAATGGAATCGACACCAATTATTGTCCACTTTCAAAATACTCAGAAAAGCAGTTTCTTCAAGGTTGCCTTTGTTTCTGCTGAAGAAAGAAACTTTAAACTCGGAAACCCACACAAAATAATTGAATCTGTGATGATCTCTTCGTGGTTGTCTGTATTAAGAGATGATTGGCAGAGATAGTAATAAATGAGCGCAGACAAAACGGAGAAAAACCTCGTACTTGGGGGATTTCAGATCTCAGTAATTCGGAGCAAAACGATTCTCAAACAAATCTGGGTGGTAAGGGAAAGTTCTCCACAGGGTTAAAGGTGGGCTGCACAAATGCTCTCAGCCTACAAAAATAAAATGGCGGAGCTCATGACAATAGTGGACATAGAAAACCCAGATGTCATTGCTGTCTCAGAAACATGGTAAACGTCAGAAGTGTTTGATAATGAAATTCAGTAGATTGGTTTTAAATCCAGCGGGGCTGTTGTCTAAGCCACAGACGGGGTGGGGTTATCATTCACATGAAAAAGACCTTAACCATACGAGTTGTAAAGACAGTGGCACACGATTCAGGGACATGTGAACTGGTTCGTTGCAGACTGAAACGTACACGGCAAAATATCGAATTAGTTGTAGTATACTGCAGACCAGAATGTTTGGTAGATGACTTGGCGAGACCAAACTGTATGGACGACCTTTGAACGAATCTTACATGACCTTGAGAAACATTAGCCAATCAGAAGACAGTTACTATATAGTAAAAATATATTATACAAAACTAAAAAAATTAAAGCGGTTATGTTCTTTTACATGGCTCAAAAACTTCTCAAGGTCAGGTATAGGTTCAGAAGTTCTAAAATCATAGTGCATACGGTGCAGCAACTCATCCATATGGCTCCATAGTAGTCGGCCTCTGGAGTCATAATAAGGTCTCAAAAATTCTTTTAGCCCCGACCACATAGCTCCAATGTTGTTGGTATGGTTTAGGGTTAGGGTCTTAACCTTAATCGTGATCGAGCGAAAAAATTCATTTGAGTACTACAGTCACAAGTATAGGAACTTCCTAATAATCCCTTTTCTTGTAGACGCCGAATTTTCACGTCTTCTTTAAAATCCGCTGTAAAGTGATCGTACGTAAGTATGAGGTACCGAATTTAGCGCCGTGAACTTGAAAACCCGCGGAAGCTTCTGATTGACTCGTCCATAAAGTTTAGTCCCGCCGATGACTTCTTTCTAAGCAAACTTAAGTCCTGGTGTAATTGCGGTAAAAGCTTTATAGCAGCACGGCCATCTCTGGATAGACCGGGATTTAGATATTAACTAGGACAAAAGGAGAAGTCTTGTCACAGCAAGTACAATGACATGCTACAGATCGGCAAGAAAACGTGGTAGACAGCGAACAACATGGTCTCAGAGAAGGTTTGTCTTGCACAACAAATTTCCCCATGACAAGAGAGAAACGGATAGAGGCCCTAGAAAATTGAAAATAAGTGTATGTTGTCGACATAGTCCTCAGCAAATCATTTGACAAAGTGCCAACAAATAGACTGCTCTTGAAGCTGGAAAATCTAGGCATTATGGACCTCTCCTAAATTGACTTGAGAATTTCCTAGTAGGTAGTCGACAGAAAGTGAGAATAAGTTCGAAGTGCTCTTCCTGGAGACCATTGCTCAGTGAATTACCTCAAGATTCTGTCCTAGGTCTTTTTTATACTATATGTGAATGAACTCCCACGTATAGTTCAGTTCCCAATGTTATTATACTCTGGTTATGTAAGAATATCGCGAGGAATAACCGGAGAGGCAAATGCATGAGCACTTCAGGTAGACTTAAATATTGTGATTAGCTGGTCTAAAGAATGACTGATACCTCTGAACGCGAAAAAGTGTATCTACATGCATTCGGGGGATACGAAGATAAATAAGTACAGCATAAGAGAAGTGCCTGTACCTGTGGTCCGGTCTGACAAGGATCTTGGGGTGACAGTGAGTCATGATTTTAAGACCACAGTCAATTGCTGAGAGGTATCATCCAAGGGGTTTAGAACCCTCTGAGCTTTAGGTTGGATATTCACCACGTTAAATACTACCATGTTCACTACAGTATAAATAATCTTAGTGAAAACTAAGCTTGAGAACTGCGTTTATTCTGCAAGCCTCTGTTTAAAGGGTGACTCAGATATCCTGAGAAAAGTACTGAGGGCAGCTACCCATGCAATTCCAGAACTCCGTGGTTTACCATTCGAAGAGCTGCTTGAAAAGTCAGACTTCTTTACTCTATTCTGTTGCAGATTAAGAGGTGACCTCTCTTCGGTGTGTAGAATACTAAGAATTTATTTTGAACCGAATATATCCTCTTTTTTTTCTTCTCAATAAGTCGGGGCGTCTCAGAGGACATATCAGGCGATTAGAGAAGCCAAGAACGAACAAAATACCCATGACAAGCAGGTTTCACAACGAATCATTCATTTTGGAACCTCTTACCGAAAGCAGTGGTGTCCGAACCTTCAACTGACGCATTCAAGAGAAGACCAGATACTCACAGAAGAGTACTAGAAAGGGAGTAACACAGAACGTAGGCCTTTTGTCCTCAATATGCTGCAAGGATTATCCCGCTCTACGCTTCTCGGATTCACTCATATCCTGATTCTAGATTACTTCAATCTTCCTAGAGTCAGTTTCGCGGAACATATGTATATTGAAGATGAAATCTCAACGGTTGCTGGGCTCTTTAACTTCATTGAAGAACTGGGATTATTAGTAAATGTGAAGTCCGCAACTCGTTGGAGAAACAGTCAGAAACCACCGCGCTTAGACTAGGTAT